ACCAGCCTAGGATGGTTTGCTGGTTTTAGCTGCTCGACCAGCCTGGTTTTAGAGGGGTTTTGACCACTTCCAGCCTATTTTTATCTGGTCAGGCTGGGAGATGACCAGCCAAAACCAGCCTAGCCAGGCTGGGCTCCCAGCCAAAACCAGCTATGTCCAGCTTAAACCAGGATGGTCAAGCTGGTTTTAAATGGTTTTAGCTGGTCACTTTCCAGCCTACCCAGCTAAGACCAGGCTGGAAATGGCTGGAAACCAGGCTGGAAATGGCCAAAACCCCTCTAAAACCAGGCTGGTTGACTAGCTAAAACCAGCCAACCACCCTAGGCTGGTTTAAACTGGATTTTTCAGCAGGGAAATGCTTCCTGATTTAACAACTGTTAGATATTTGGACTAGAAACAAGATCAAAAATCTAAGTAGAAAGCATTTTTTGCAGTGTAGATTCACATTTAGTTTCCCTCTGTTATTGATTTGCTGAAGTTTAATGGGAAGACGCAGTCGCTGTTTGTAGCACTATTGATGTTGTGAGTTTGTCTTCCTCATGCGTATGTGTACATGGTGTAATTACATTACTCTGCAGGAATAAAATCGCCCCAAAAGAGACAATAAAGTTTACAGTAAACAATAAACCACTTACACTTGCAGTTTCGCAGATATCAGCTCTGAGTATTCTTACATCAGTTCACAGTGACACTCTCGTAAAGTACACAATTTTCACCACATAGCACAGCGCTACCGTAAAACTGTGATTATTCCTTTGACTATAATTGTACAACTAAAATCATAATCGTTGCATCCTAAATAAAAAGACATTCAAACAATGGTTTATCAATAGCAGGTGATGCAAGATACAGCGATCACTCACTTTACTGTGTGCAGCAGTGGTTGAGGGTTTGAAGATCTCCCGCACATCGGGGACTGCGTAGGGTTTGTTGCGCTTGCGTAGCGTCTGTTTGAGAGTCTCCACACGTCGCTCCACGGCGGCCGCTTGTGTTCGGGTCAGAGTCGACAACAGAGCGATGCTGTCCTCGCCGTCTGAAGCGGATTGGTCAAACAGAGTCGCTAGCCCCGCCTCCATCAACCATGCCTCCTCCTGCTCACCTTCTGCAAAAAACACAACACATATTAATAAAAGGCTCTTAAACTGAGACATCAACTTTCTATAAAAAAAAACATCCTGTTTCAAAACTCTGATTATTCTGTTAAGAGTAAAAACAGCACACGTGAAATAAAACCTAACCATATTGATTTTATTAGCTCACATTGCTACTTTTCTTGTGAAAAATGTCTTAAAATACAATAATTTGTCCTTGTAATCATTGATTCAAATCTGAAAATTTTTGTTTGTTTTTAGTTAAATACTCATGTTAGGCCTGTCTGAGGTATTGGGCGGGGCTAACACACTTAACCACGCCCCTCAAACTGTCAGTATAGACAGAAATGGTTAGCAGGAGGAGTCTGTTAGGTTGTAATAACTCTCCCCAAACCCTTTTCCCCAGCTTACTGAATGAAATGCTAACTTTACTACTTCACAAATAGCGCAAAAAAAAAGAAAGTAGTGAGGCACGAAGGCATTTACCACTTTGTAAGGTTGCCATTCATTTCACAACACTTAGCAGAGGTTTAGGGAGTGCAGACACCAAGGAATGAAGAGTTTCAGGTGAAAACAAGTCTTAAGGTGGGCAACAGTACGGGCTCTTCGTTGTCGCATTTTTGCACTTAAAAATGCACCACACATTCTCTATTGGAGACAGGTCGGGACTGCAGGCAGGCCAGTCAATTAACTGTATCCCCTTCCTTCGCAATCAGGACTTTGTACTAAGTGCAGAATGTGGTTTTGCATTGTCTTGGTGAAATATGCATGAGCGTCTCTGAAGTGAAGGCAGCAGATTGTGCTCAAAAATCTGTATTGTATTCAGCATCTGTATTGTATTCAGCATTATTGCTCTGTATTGTTCAGCATTAATGGTACCATCACAGAAGTGACACAACCCGATACGCTGACAAACCCTGGCTACAAGACTTGTTGCTAGTAACAGACTTTTTCTTCTTTGGTCCAGAGCACATAGCATTTCTCCTGAAAAAATACCTGAAATATTAATTCATCTGACCACAGTACACGTTTTGACTATATGATGGTCCATCCTTGATGCGTCCAAGCCCAGAGAAGTTGATGGCGCTTCTGGACGTTGTAATATACGGCTACCTTTTGGCACAGTGCTGTTTTCATTGGCATTTGTGGATGTAACTCTGTATTGTGATACTTGACGAAGGTTTGCAGCAGTAGTTCTGAGCCCATGTGGGGATATCGCTTCCAGAGGACTGACCATTCTTGATGCAGCACCGCCTAAGGGATCGGAGATCACGGTTGTTCAGTTTAGGATTGCGCCCTTGTCCTTTACACACTGAAGTTCCTTCAGATTCCTTCAATCTTTTAATGATGTTCTGCACTGTTGAAGGTGAAATATCTAAATGTCTTCCTCTCTGTCTTTGAGGAACATTGTTTTTAAATATTTCAATCATTTTCTCATGTATTTGTTGTCAAACTGGGGATCCTCGGCCTATCTTTGCTCCTAAAGGACTAGACCTTTCTTGGATGCTGCTTTTGTAGAAAATCATAATTACAATCACCTGTTGACATCACCTGTTTCACATCACATCAATATTTAACCATTTTACCCGATTACTAGCCCTAAACTGCTCCTGTCCCAACCTTTTTGGAATGTGTTGCAGGTCTGAAAGACAGAAGAAGAAGAATATTTATAAAATAAATTAAGTTGACCAGGCGATACAGTGGCGCAGTAGGTAGTGCTGTCGCCTCACAGCAGGAAGGTCCCTGGTTTGAGTCTCGGCTGGGTCAGTTGGCATTTCTGTGTGGAGTTTGCATGTTCTCCCTGCATTCGTGTGGGTTTCCTCCGGGTGCTTCAGTTTCCCCCACATTCCAAAGACATGCGGTACAGGTGAATTGGGTAGGCGAAATTGTCCGTAGTGTATGAGTGTGAATAAGTGTGTATGAAAGTTTCCCAGTGATGGGTTGCAGCTGGAAGGGCATCCGCTGCGTAAAACGTGCTGGATAAGTTGGTGGTTCATTCCGCTGTGACATTCCCGGAGTAATATAATGACTAAGCCGAAAAGAAAATGAATGAATGAATAAATGAAGTTGACCAGAAAAAGCATCAAATATTTTGTGTTCATAATATCTGCAATAAAATACAATTCAAAGTAAATGTGGAAATCACTACCTTCTGTTTTATTAGCGCTTTCCATATTGCCTAAACTTTTTCTGATTTGTGGTTGTTATTTAATGTAATCAAATGTACCCGAAACAACATATTTAAGGTTTAGCTCAAATTAGGGATGCACGATATTGCGCAATACAATACACAATCAAAACAAAACTTGTGTATTGGCAAAGCATATTGGCATAATATTTCCGTACATACCAATTATATTGTGCATCCCTAGCAAAAATTCAGTCTCACATATTTACAATGAGCCTTGCTTGGTACTCCAGCCACACCAAATTTAGCAGTTTCCTCTAAAGCCTCTTATTAATGGCATGATCGCTATGAGACTTGTGACATGTGTATGAAAATGTGTTAATTTCATCACAGTCATGGTGAGGAGGAAGCCATTGATGCCGCTCTGACAGGAAACAGAAGAATCATCACTGCAGCAAAGGAAGTCTCAGTCTAAAAACAATTCCTGCAGCTCCCTTTATTGTAGATTCTTCCTGTACATTCAAACTGTTTGAGTCTAAATATACCTTCAGGTGTTCGGTTTCGACATGGAACAAGTGACTACATGTAGGATTTGCAGGGCATTTTCTATTTGTGTTTGTGTTGTGAGGTCAAGAGGTTAATATATTTGCATTAAAGAGGAAACCAATGTACAAAATAAGGTAAACTTGAGTGCTTCATTTCCCCTTTAACCTAGTTCAGCCTATTAATGTCACTTTAAGCTGAATACTAGTATCCTGAAAAACATCTAGTCAAATATTATGTGCTGTCATCATGGCAAAGATAAACGAAATCAGTTATTAGGATTAGTTATTAAAACCATTGTTTAATAATGTGCTGAAACAAAATCTCTCTGTTAAACGAATTGTTTAATTAATATTTTAGAAAGCATTACATTTACATGTAGTCATTTAGCAGATGCTTTTATCCAAAGCGACTTACAAATGAGGACAAGGAAGCAATTTACACAACTATAAGAGCAACAATGAATAAGTGCTATAGGCAAGTTTCAGGTGTGTGAAGTCTAAGAAGCAAAGCATTAGTAATGTAAGTTTTTATTTATTTTTATTTTTTGAGTACAGTTAGCGGTAGAACCAGAGAGGCAATTGCAGATGAGGAAGGGATGAGTAGAGACTAAATAGTTGAGTTTTTAGTGGTTTCTTGAAGACAGCGAGTGACTCTGCCGTTCTGATGCAGTTAGGGAGTTCATTCCACCAACTGGGCAGATTGAATGCGAGAGTTCGGGAAAGTGATTTCTTCCCTCTTTGGGATGGAACCACGAGGCGACGTTCATTCACAGAACGCAAGTTTCTGGAGGGCACATACATCTGCAGAAGTGAGAGCAGATAAGAAGGAGCAAAGCCAGAAGTCGCTTTGTAAGCAAACATCAGAGCTTTGAATTTGATGCGAGCAGCAACTGGCAGCCAGTGCAAACGGATGAGCAGCGGAGTGACATGTGCTCTGTTAGTTCATTAAAGATTACTCGTGCTGCTGCGTTCTGAAGCAGCTAAAGAGTTCTGATAGAGTTAGCTGGAAGCCCGGCTAGTAGAGAGTTGCAATAGTCCAGTCTCATGAGAACAAGAGCTTGAACACGGAGTTGAGCTGCATGTTCAGATAAGAAGGGTCGGACCTTTCTGATGTTATAGAGTGCGAATCTGCAAGATCGAGCAGTTCTGGTAGTGTGGTCAGAGAAGTTTAGTTGGTCGTCAATCGTTACTCCAAGGCTTTTTACCAATTTGAATGCAGTAATGGTTGCCCCATCCATCTGGATTGAAAAGTTATGATGAAGAGTCGGGTTGGCAGAAACTTCAAGCATTTCTGTTTTCGTGAGGTTAAGCTGAAGATGATGATCTCTCATCCAGTGTGAAATGTCTGACAGGCAGGCTGAGATGCGAGCTGGAACCGAGGGATTATCAGGATGAAAAGAGAGGTATAGCTGGGTATCATCAGCATAGCAGTGGTAGGAGAATCCGTGTTTCTGGATGACTGGTCCTAGAGATGTCAATTTCACAGGAGGGACAATACTCTTAAATTCAGCTGTGTGTGTGGGTGTGTGTTTCTCACCGTCGGCCACCTTCAGCTGCAGCTCCTCTTGTGTCTCGGCATCTCCGCTCCGCTGGATGATCTCCACCTCTTTGAAGTAATCCACCATGGCCTGCTCGTCCAGAGAGTCCTGCGAGCTGCAGCGCTGGTACGGGGCCGCCGCGGGCCCTCTGAGCCGCTGCACATTATACTGACCGGTCCTGCGGCTGCAGGGACACACAGATCAAAACGTCAGATCTAGAAAATCAGTATATTAGAGGCTTCAAACACACATGCCAGCAGTGCAGATTTCAGCTCATGCTCATTTAAAATACATGCAACAGCTTAGAAATGCAGCAAATGAGGACTGAGCAAAATTGTTTATACTTCATAATTAATGTTCTCAACTCACAGCAATACAACTTTACAATGAGTACAATTGTTTGCAGGGCTCAACAATAAGGACTGCCCGGTGGCCCGGGGCCAGCGTGAAAGACGCTCGGGACAGTAGACAGGATTGTTACTGGCCCCTAGCATGCAATTTTTTTCGTAACATTGTAACAACAATTACAGCGAAAAGATGGCAACATCTAACTATGAGGCTAAAAGAAAACGTCAGTTTCTAAAGTCTTGGAAGCAGACAATTACATGGGTACTAAATTAAGAAACTGGGAGAAAAAAAAAAGAAGAGTTGTCGGTTTGGCAAGCCATTTTTATAAAAATAATTTAGAATTGCACTAAAATACCAGCACATTTTTCATACTGCACCTTCGTTTGCATAAAATCAAACTAATTTTGTTCATTATACATTTATTAACATTTTTAAATGTTTAAATTCTAGATTCATAGACATTATTTTGCCACATTATTAAATTTTTTTTTTTTAGTGGGGCCAGTGAAAATTTTGGCAGGGCAAGTATAAACCTCAACCACTGGCCCAGTCGGCCCAGTAGAAAAAATCCTTAGCGTTGAACCCTGGTTTGTATTCAATACTTTATTATTATTATTATTTTCCATATCTGCAATGCCTGTATTTTGGCATTTTTTGCAGTCCACTTAGAATCCAACTTTGGAATATTTTGTTTCTTTATTGGCATTGATTGCTTTGAAATTCAAATGGCATTAACATGCCTGTGTTTTAATTTCTGTAATAAATATGGCTGTCAAGCCAGGATCTTCGATACAAAGCACCTTCCGACTGGAACAATCTCCCTTCTTTTTTTAGATCAATTGCATCACTTTGTCTTTTCATGGCTAATTTATTTTCTCTTCTGGAAACAACTTGCAAATGTTATTAAATTTGGCTACAAATTAGATGTTTATTATTTATTTGCATACCAAATTGTTTGTACTTATGATTATATGTTGTCGCTTATTTAGGCTTCGGATTGTGGGAAGTGTTTCAGGTGAAGTGTGCTGCTTGTTTGTTTGTTTTTTTGTCTTGTCAAGTGTATGTACTTTATGATGTGTTGTACTCTACTTTTTAGGGACCCCCTCGAAAATGAGATGATTCATCTCAAGGGGCTATCCCATTCAATAAATTCAACAAAAATTCAACAATCTTGATGGCTCATTGTGGATTTGTTGTTTACATGAAGAAATCTGTGTTACAAGTTAAACAAAAATTCTAATAAACAAATATATTTTGAATTGAAATAGTTTTTGTCTTGCGTTTACATTAAGTTTACATTTGAATAGCCAAAATTACAAGTTTCAGTATTTTAAATGCGATAATTAAAAAAATAATTGTAATTAATTAGTTTGTTTTTTTTTATCAATTGACAGCACTAATTTATACATTTTATTACAAGAATTGCTGTGCTGTGAAGAATATAAAATTGTGTGTGTTAAGCATCATCAATGCACCGAGATATCCAATTGAAGCGAATCGATGACATGATAATCGTAACCGAACTGAACTGTGAGACCAGTGTTGGTTCACACCTCTAATTTCTACCATCTTTTTTTACGATTTTTGATTGGTGTTTTTTCTTCACAGAAAAGGGGCGGGATATGATGCAATAATCATTTTAGCACTTTTATTGTTTTTGCATAATCACCGGAGGTCCTGCTCTAAACATTATTACATTGATCAAAGGCACATATACAGACACATATACAGGTGGCACGCTATACAGACTCGCAAGAAAAAAAAATTGTCAAAATATCCTGCTGAAGGGAACAGATGGGACGATGTAGCTGGAAGAAAACCTGTTTTTTAATTGACTGACAGGTATTTTCTGTGAGGGGACTTCAGGGGTGAAACTCAGTACAGAAGTGCAGGAATGACTCCTTCAGAAAGAGTGCACGGAGCAGCAGGCATGAAGAGCGACGGATCGAGTCAAGAAGCTGAAAAATGGGCCTCTGTCCTGCCAGGAAATAAAGATGCTATTGTCAGGCCGATTGTTTGGCTGCTTTGTGGGGCAGGAGACGCAGATATCGGACACTTTAAACAGAGCGGTTATTATGGAGCAAGATTAGTCTCAAAAATATTACGTAAGATGCATTTGTGTGAGTGTTTAGGGTAAATATTTTATGCTTTGTACTTGTGTATTCATGTATTGTGTTCTGAATCAATGAATTGGATCTGTGCATTTATGAGTTGTGTTTTCAATATATGAATACAAATTGACAATTTCAAGCGTCTGGAGTTTTTTATATGTCATTAAAATATCTGAAAAGGCCAGTTTTTAATTTTGACTTGAAGCAAATGTATTTTTTATCATATTAAGCAACACATTCCACAATAATGATCATTTCTTTCCAAAGGTGGTCAAATACTTAGAGTATTATTAAATATACTGCTCACAAAAATATGACATGTAAATCCGTGTTGAATTGATTATAAAGAGCATCTCTTTGGATGAATCACAGTCAGTAATGTGCCATCAGAGCGGAGGCTGAAGAAAGAAAAGAAAGAGTCATTCATTCTCCTCCTCCTCCTAATACGGCGTACACAACACCAGTAAACACCATAAATGAGCCGATTCTGCATCCTGAATCTCTTCAAGTGTTTAGAGGTTGTCTTGTGCAGATGGGTCAGACTAAATGATGACTGCTCTATTTCACTGTTTTTCAGAAAGAAGAATAAGTGACAAAGACAAGAGGTCACATCTGTTTCATTCAGTATATGTGTGCATGATTTATATATATA